TGATAAAAATCAAGAACAGGCATAAGCACAAAAGTGCTGAAAGACAAAGAAAATATTAAAAGAAAGAAGGGATGTATGTTTTAGAAGGATACTATCCTAATAATATTGTCAACTGGATTATTATTGATATAATAAATATCACAAAACAGTGAGATGACATTAAATTCTAAGACAAAGGATGCTGGGAAAATCATGTGTATTTTAAATGCAATTAAGTTAGACAGTATTTAACTGCAAGGACTACATCTTAGATAGTTTATGTCTATCAAGTGTTTTTCATACAGTTGGCTTAGTGCTGAAAGAAATAGTAAATATGGTTAATTTCTTTTGCAGTGTTAGTTTCATACATGCTAAGCAAGCACTCTACCATGGAGCTATATCTCTAACCCATGAAAATGGATGCAAATTAAGATCATCTTATTAACTGAATTAAACCAAACCCAGAAAGAATTCTATGACTTTTGTCACTTGTGAATTATAATTTCATACATATATGCATGTATTTCATATATATGTATATATATATACATATATATGAAAAAATAGTCTAAAAGAGAGGAACGATGACACTAATGAAACATGGGAAAAGGTACACAGATTCACATTATAGTTAATCACTGCTTAATACCAACGAAAAAAGAGAAAATGTTAAAAGCACTAAGAGGTACACTAGGTGCATAGAAATAACAATAATATTATTACATTTTTCAATGGAAACAATTCAAGTAAGAAAATATTGGACATTGTTGATTCTAAAAGAAAAAAGAAGCCCAGGAAAAATTCTGTATCTAGAAAGAATATCTTCATAACAAGACAAAATATAGCAGACAAAAAGACAAATATATTGTCTACAAGGGCTGCACTTAGTTTTTTATTGTTGTATTGCCATTGTTTTTGTTTTCATAGTAGTAGCTCTAACCTAGCTCATGTGCAAAAAACTTACACCTATTTTTGAAGCTGCCTGAAAATAAGATAAAAATAAGATCCTTGATAAAGATAGTCCACGTTAACTACACAGTAACGAAGTTGGAAAGACTATGGTAAAAGAAGAATGTTTAATAGTGATAAAGCAATCAATTTAATAAGAAGACATGGTGTCCTGGGATACCAAGGTAGGAGAACAATGAGTTCTTGTTTAGCCTACAGTATATTGTAAAACCTTGTCTAAATAAATAAGAGAGCACATCAGTCATAAATGTTTACATACCCGGTAAAAGAGTATCAAATTCTTTGGAGTAAATCTGATAGAACTGAAGAGGGAAATATTAAAATCAATAATTGTATTCAGGGATTTCAATGACCTCTGTCAATATAAGGAGAAAATCATCAGAGATATAAACTTAACAATACAATTAGCCATCTAGACTTGATAGACATATATAACGTATTCCACAATAATATTATGATACACATTTTCTAAAATACACATGGAATATTTACTGATATAAACCATATTATAAGAATAAAATAAATCCATTCAAAGTCAAGGCCTCAAATTTACACATATTTTCTCAGGCAACAATGAATCCATAATCAGATGATTATAGGAAATCTCTAAAATTTAGGAAACTATAACTTATGGATCATAAGATAAATTAATCAGGAAATTGATGTTTTTGTTAAATAAAAATGGAAACACCAGCCAAGCCTGTGAGTTACTTTTAAAAAAGTATCTAAAAGGAAATTTATAGTATTGAATATAGCAGGAAAGACAAATGCTTTCAATGTTTCACCCTTATAACACTAATATTCCATTTCAACTTACAACACTAATATTCTATTTCCCCCCTCCTTAGAAGATCCACTCCTGGAACCTACATGGAACCAAACTAGGCCTTCTGAATGTGGGTGACAGTTCCGTGGCTTGGACAGTCTGTGGGACACCCTGGCAGTGGCACCAGGAGCTATTTCAGGTACATGGATTGGCTTTTTCAAGCCCATTCCCTATGGGAGATATAGGGGATAGGGCCTTGGTCCTGCCTGGTTTTGGTATGCCAGACTTTGACTCCTCCAGGAAGGCCTTACCCACTCTGAGGAGTAGACGGGAGGGGGTGGAAGAAGGGTCCGAAGGGGAACTGGGGTTTATTTGTAAAATGAAACTTAAAATTTTTTAAATAAAAATAAAGATCTCTTCCTCTACACAGTCTCTTAATGGGTACCTAACTGACTTTGAACTTCTGATACTCCTATCTCCACCTTTCAAATCCTAAAGTTACATATGTGTACCATAACATCTGGTACAACTTTCATTTATTGATTTATATGTTGGTTATAGGTGTGTTTCATTTTACAAAATATTTATAAGGTCATATTTTTGTTTCTTTATTTGCTTTATAATCTTTTGAGACTTTCATACATGAGAATTGTAGTTTCATTATTTCCTCCTCCTTTGCCTCCCTTAACTCATCATGTCCCTTCCACTCACTCCTAAACTCATGAAATCTCTAATTATTTTTATTACACATATATAATATGTATATACAAACATAATCTGCTGAGTTCATTTAGTGTTGCTCATTAGTATACATGTTTGGGGCTGACCACTTCAGACTCGATAACCTGATTATCAGGGGTCTTGTCCTTGGAAAAGATAGATTTGACCTTTCTCAGTAGCCATTAACTTCTAGGGCAGTGTTTCTCCCTTCCTAATGCTGCGACCTCTTAATACATTTCCTCATGTTGTGGTGACCCTCAACTGTAAAGTTATTTTCCTTGCTACTTCATAATTGTAATTTTACTACTGTTATGAATTGTAATGCAAATATTTTGGAGATAGAGGTTTGCCAGAGGGATTGCAATCCACAGTTCTAGAGAGACCCTTATGAAATTTTCCCATCTATATTGGTATGCCAACTAGTGCTATCATTGTGTAGGTCTTTGGGCATGTTACTGAGATTTCATGTATGCAGTTTCTCTGTCATATACAGAAGACACTATACTGAAGCAAACATTTTGGTACTTATAATCTTTCTTTCTTTCCTTCTGGATATTCCTTGTTCCAGAGAACAACTGATTATGGGGTGCCCAACCCCAGTTGTGTTTTTGCCTTTTTATAAGAAAATACACATAATTTTGTTTTATGCAATTTTATTTTTTGAGACAAGGTTTCCCTGTGTAAGTAGTCCTAACTGTCCTAGAACTGGCTCTGTAGACGAGGCTGGAGTTAAACTCACAGAAATCCACCTGCCTCTGCCTGCTGAATACTTGGATTAAAGGTGTTCACTATCATTGCCTAGCCTTATACAATCAACTTTGCACTATATTTTACAATAAAATGTTTTAAATGGGAAATACTGAATTTATCAAAACATAAATGTCATTTATACTTAAAAATATGATGGGAAGATATTTGATTTGGTGATGAATCCTTTAAAGTCTTGAGCAGAGAGACTGAAGACAAGTGATCCCTTACAAATTCAGAGTTTTGTTCAATGTCAACTCTTCTGGTTCAGAGAAGTGAATCTCTGTCCCCTTCGCTGTGTGTCTTTTTTCTCTGGACTGCCTCTTGCCCCTTTCTGAATCCTATAAATGACAGACTGTAAGGACATCGACCCACTGTTTCTCCTGTCTCCTTTAAAGTTATAAAAGCAGAGCACCCTCTGTTCTCTAATAGATACCCTAAGCAGCAATCCTGCTAATATTTTCGTGACTAATTCGGTTGACTCAAAAAGCAAAATTCTAAATCTGTCCTGTTTATTTGAATGAATTGCTTTGTGTGACAACAGCCTCTAAACTTTGACAGATTCTCCTAAATCCATTTAAGGAATCCTATGCTAGGTTCACAAAATGTCGCAGTACATGTGTGGGGATTTTGTTCAGAAGTCCATCTTTACATTTCACCTCTCAGTTTTCCCTATTAACTCCCTTTATTTCACAATAAATTAAACAAATAAATCATTACCAAAAAAAAAAAAAAGAATGAAAGGTCATCTAAAGGCTTGGGAATAATATAGAGCTGTGGCAGCTCTAAATTGAACATTATCAAGGGCCCTGATAGTCCAATAATGTAAGGAGAACACAGTTCTCAAATTACCAGTCATTCACTTGTTTTGAAATGCCTTTCTTTGTTGTTGGGTTGATTTAAAATGAATGTCCACAACTCTACCCAGAAAAAGCAAATTGTACTATCCCCTGCTTCCCCTTCTCTGTTTGCTATAAGATAATCTATAAACAATGTTATCTAGGATTTAGATGACATGTCAACCTTTTCAGAGGGAGATAGTCTATTGATTGGCACTTTAAGGATTTTTTTTCCACCTCAGAGGTCACAGTTGTTTTAATTGAGCTTAGAGCCATAGTTCCTTTTATCACAACTTCATTGATTCTTATTGTAAAGCCAGTTCTGGTTTCAGGCTCTCAGAATGAAGCTGAAAGACCATGGCCGGTGATTCTAAAGAATAGTCTTGGAGAAGTCCTGGTGAATAGGGCAGAATACAGGTGGCTGGAAAAGCACAAGTGGCCTTAGTCCACAGAATGAGCTGCCAGCTACACTCCAGGTACTTGCACATGAATGATTAGAATGCATTATTGAAGCATTGCTTTCCTTGGAAATATAAAAAGGTCTTTAACCCTATCCTTAAAACGGAAGCTGGTAGGGCACCAGTGGGAATAAAAAAGCCTCTGGCTTTCAAATTAATAAGTGATGTTAAGTTGCAATTACTATCTTTATACATTTCGTAAATCCCGTCTAAGCACTACATATTCTCCTCCGCGCCCCCCATGGGCTGCTCATTTTGTCTCCCATTTATTCAATAGTTGTTTTCGTTTTACGTGAAGATTTTAGTAGAATTTGAAGTTAGGTGTATCCAACGTTTAATCATTGGGACGTGGTCAAATCATTATCCCAGATCGTATGAACCAAAGTAATTAGACAATCTCATTATTAAAACCGTACTTCTGGACTTGGCCTCTGTCTGAGAACTAAAGGGGACAAACCTACGGATGGCAGCGAGGGGTCAATTCACCACAGGCGTTGGGTCAGGGGTGGAGGAGTCGGAAGTGATTGGGATTTGGGGGAGGAGATTCGCTTACACACAGGAGCCAAGCATTGAGCGGCCATATCTGCCACCGCCACCGCAGCTGTGGATGCAGCATCTGCGCTCAGCTGCCTCCGCGCCTCTAAGGTTCGTGAAGCTACCCGGTGGACGTTGGCTGTTCTGCCTTGCCACCATCTGTGCAAACAGCTCGTTCTGACCTGCCTACCCCCTCCTTCTCCGCCGCACCCCGGCTTCTCAGACCATGGATCTCGGCAGCAGCAGCGACTCAGCTCCCGACTGCTGGGATCAGATGGACATGGAAGTCCCGGGTTCGGCTCCGAGTGGGGATGGAATCGCCTCTGCAAACACGGCAGCGGCTGAAGCAGCGGAAGCGGAGGCCCTGCGCCAGCATCTCAGCATGGCCTTCAGCAGTCAGCTCAACATCAACGCCAAACCTTTCGTGCCTAGCGTAAGCGCTGCGGAGTTCGTGCAGTCCTTCCTGCCGGGATCGGCCCAGCCGCCCGCCCCCACAGCCTCCAGCAGCAATGAAACCTGCACCAGCGCCGGAGACCCTCAAGGTAAAAGGCTGGGATGGGGAGCACCTGTGGAACCTTCCAAAGATGGACCTTTAGTGTCGTGGGAAGGTTCCAGTTCAGCTGTTACCATGGAACTTTCAGAACCTGTTGTAGAAAATGGAGAGGTGGAGATGGCCCTGGAAGAATCGTGTGAGCTTAAAGAAGTAAGTGAAGCAAAGCCTGGGGGTTCTTTGGGAGAGTCAGGGCCCCCAGAAGAAAGTGGCAAGGAAATGATGGAGGAGAAAGAGGAAATAAGGAAATCCAAATCAATGGTCATACCATCAGGTGCTCCTAAGAAAGAACACGTAAATGTGGTGTTCATTGGGCATGTAGATGCTGGCAAGTCAACCATTGGAGGACAAATAATGTTTTTGACTGGAATGGTTGACAGGAGGACACTTGAGAAATACGAAAGAGAAGCTAAGGAGAAGAATAGAGAGACTTGGTATTTGTCCTGGGCCTTAGACACAAACCAGGAGGAACGAGACAAGGGTAAAACAGTGGAAGTGGGGCGTGCGTATTTTGAAACAGAAAAGAAACACTTCACAATTTTAGATGCCCCTGGCCACAAGAGTTTTGTCCCAAATATGATTGGTGGTGCTTCTCAAGCTGATTTGGCTGTGCTGGTCATCTCTGCCAGGAAAGGAGAATTTGAAACTGGCTTTGAAAAAGGTGGACAGACAAGAGAGCATGCGATGTTGGCCAAAACAGCAGGGGTAAAATACTTAATAGTGCTTATTAATAAAATGGATGACCCTACAGTAGATTGGAGCAGTGAGCGATATGAAGAATGTAAAGAGAAACTGGTGCCCTTTTTGAAAAAAGTTGGCTTCAGTCCAAAAAAGGACATCCACTTTATGCCCTGCTCAGGACTGACCGGAGCAAATATTAAAGAGCAATCAGATTTCTGTCCTTGGTACACTGGATTACCATTTATTCCATATTTGGATAGTTTGCCAAACTTCAACAGATCAATCGATGGACCAATTAGGTTGCCAATTGTGGATAAGTACAAGGATATGGGCACTGTGGTCCTGGGAAAGCTGGAATCAGGATCTATTTTTAAAGGCCAGCAGCTTGTGATGATGCCCAACAAGCACAATGTGGAAGTTCTAGGAATAGTCTCTGATGATGCTGAAACTGATTTTGTAGCTCCAGGGGAAAACCTCAAAATCAGACTGAAAGGAATTGAAGAAGAAGAGATTCTTCCAGGCTTCATACTTTGTGAACCCAGTAATCTTTGCCACTCTGGACGCACATTTGATGTTCAGATTGTGATTATTGAGCACAAGTCTATCATCTGCCCAGGTTATAATGCGGTGCTTCACATTCATACCTGTATTGAGGAAGTTGAGATAACAGCCTTAATCTCCTTGGTAGACAAGAAATCAGGAGAAAAGAGTAAGACACGGCCCCGCTTTGTGAAACAAGACCAAGTGTGTATTGCCCGATTAAGGACAGCAGGGACTATCTGCCTGGAGACCTTTAAAGATTTCCCTCAGATGGGTCGTTTTACTTTAAGAGATGAGGGTAAGACAATCGCAATTGGCAAAGTTCTGAAACTGGTCCCAGAGAAGGACTAAGTGATTTCATTGTTGCCTCTGCACCGTAGTCTGAAATATTGACTGCAATTTACTGCCCATTGACTGATATTTGTTCACATTTTGCAGAGAAAGTTCACAGCAAAAATCCATGTTTTGTCAGCTTTCTCATGTTGAGATCTCAGTTATGTCACTCTTGAATGCATACTCCAGTTTTTTCCCTCTACACCACTCTGCTTCCTTGGACAGATCAGTAATAGCTTTGTAAGTGATGTGTATGCAATTGCCTATAATACTACAAATAATATATTTAAAAATTTTATTTTCCCTTTGGGATATCTAGACATCCTTTGTTCTGTGCAGAACAATCAGTGTGTCAGTGTGTATATGTTAATGAAGACAAATAACATGTAAATAAAGTGTTCCATTTGAAACTGCAGTATTCGAAATGTGTTTGAATAATGCTTGAATTTATATGCAATACTATTTCATTAGTTTTTTCTCAAGTAATTAAATGCATTATTACTTGTGCTTCAAAAATATCTTCCCTGTTTGTAATGAGGAATTGGTCAAAACCACACATCTGTGTACCAAAAGAAAACTTTACTATGGAAGAGACACCCTACCTTTGTGCCCTTCCCAGTTAACTGTGTTTTCTTGTCTTAAGTTCAATTAGTAAAGGAGTTCTTCAACTTACCCAGTTATTATTTGAAAATGAAGATTACCTTTTTTTTTTTTTTTTAATTTTGTCTTCCATTAGGTCCCATAACGTTGAGCATGGCCAAATCACATGTATTCCTAAGGTTTCAGAATATGTATATGTTGATAGACTCTTATCTACTCCATCATCTTTAACATGCTGTGGTACCATTCATTGTGAAATTTGGGGTGCAAGACACAGTAATCGGTACAGTTACTGAAAAGGTAAATTGTTGAAATAGGACTATATGTCATTTACTAAAACAAAGGACTTGATGTGGGAAATGAGCCTTCCTTGTGGTTTAGGGGTTATTACAATCTGTTTTCCAAACAATTTTTGAGAACACCAACTGTGGATTATAAGGTAGTTAGATGCATTGCCAGAAGAATGCCTTTATGACCCTCAAAACTCTCAACAGCTTGGGGAATTTTCTGTCTTGGTAAGTAAGTTTAGTGTAAACATCTTCCCAGTGGTGTGCAGAACCAGTATTTTTTTTTAGGTACAGCTCTATACTTGGAGTAAGAAACTTCTTTACTAACTCTCATGGGCAGGCTGGTAGATGTAGACACTGCAGCCACAACACCCTGGGCCTATGCTCAGGTAAGGCAGTGTCTTCTTCATGGTTTCTTTCTTTGTTCAAAGGCAGTGTCTACTTCTCTGTGGTCTTTTTCTTTGTGTGCTCATGAAACTCCTATCTCATTATATTAGATCATTACTGACTGTGTTGCATTATCAGCAGCATGACTCCATTGTGTATCATCCACCACAGGTCGTCGGAGCACCTGCTTAAGAAAGATTTTAACTTGTCATGCATCAGCTAACCTAATCCACAGGAAAACCCATATGGTGATGGACACAGTCATTTAATCATGAGTGTTGGTGGCAGGAGTTTTGTTACATCTTTTGTCATAAAAGTGCCTCCTTTTGGCATATGGTAAACTGTACAGCAGTGAGGCTGGTCTTTTTTTGATAAACACTATACCTTAACAGTTACTTTATTAAGGCTGTCCGCCTAGCCATGTTAGCCCCACTGTGTAACCTAGGCTGGCTTTCAGCTTGTGGTGATCATCCTGCTTCAGTATCTTTAGCGTTGAAATTATAGATGTAAACCACCACATCTAGCTCTTGGCAGTCATTTATAGTTTTTTAATGCTATTTTTGTGTCATAGTAATTTTAGTAATTTACCAATAACTGTGTGTGTGTGTCTGTGTGTGTATGTATGTGTGTATTATAGTCACATGCACACATACAAAACTCTCTACCAGTTGGCCAAAACAAAAGCCAGGACACTTGATTTGGATAATTTTTCAAAAACTGGTTCCTAAATGTTTGTGTGTGAGAGAGACACACACACATATAACTTTCATAGAAAATGTCATAATCTTTATGCCTATTTTAGGAATTATTTCTTTGCAATCCAGTGATTATCATATTATTCAGGAGGTTGGAGACACCAGAGACTAGCTCTGTTTTTTTTTTTTTTTTTTTTTTTTTTTTGCTGTTGTTTGTTTTGTTTTTTTTTGAGACATTTTTTTTCTCTGTGTAGCTTTGGAACTTGTCCTGGAATTCACTCTGTAGTCCTGGCTGGTCTTGAACTCACAGAGATGCACCTGCCTCTGCCTCCCAAGTTCTGAGATTAAAGGTATGTGCCACTACTGCCTGGCTGAAAGTAGATATGAGCCCAGCATTGTGACACTGGCTTGCAATGTAAGTACTTGAAAAGCTGAGGCAAGAAGATAAAATGTTCAAGGCCAGCCTTAGCTACACTGTGAATTTGGAAACAGCCTGAACTACACAGTGACATCTTATCACAGAAAATCACCAGTAGATACAAATCATACAAAAACATTTCTTTTTAATTTCAGGGTACTTTACTTTAAAGTTGTTAGCATCTAATAGTTTTCAGTATTTCAAATTAGGGCCATTTGCCAGTACAGCATTAGTTTGTCCAGTGCACTGTACTACTTGTAAAGCTACAATCAGGGGAGTGTCCCTTTACAGAATTTCTGCTTTCTCTAATTCATTTTAAATTAACTTTTGGATGGTTTAAATAAGAATGTCCCTCATAGGTACATCTATTTGAACACTTGGTTTTCAGTTGGTGGTGCTGTTTGGGGGAGGTTTAGGAGGTGTGGTCTTGCTGGAGGTAGTATGCCACTAGGGGTGGGCTTTGAGTATTTGTAGTCTCACCCCACCTCCAGTTGCTCTCTCTGCTTCCTGCTTGCAGTTGAGGATGTGCGCTCTCAGCTTCCTGCTCCAGCTGTCATGCCTGCTGCTTGCTGTCATGCTTACCTGCCATGATGATCGTTTATCTCTCTGGATCCGTGAGCCTAAATAAACCCTTCATTCTGTAAGTTGCTTCTGGTCATGGTGTTTTAGCACAGCAACAGAAAAGTAACTTGGTGGCAGAAGTTTGAATGTAGAGAGTAAGCTATTGCTGTATAGAACAGGACCATGTTTTTTAGAGGAATGTGGAAGACTGAAATTTTGGATTAGAAAAGTGGTTGGATGCCGTAAGCAGACATTAGTAGGAGCTTTGAAGACTCTAGTGTTGAGAGTAATGTAGAATGCAGCAGCCTGGCTCTCAAGGTTTCAGAAGGGAACAATATTAGGAATGGGACTAGAGCCCATTTCTGTGCTGTCTTGGCAAAGTAACTGGCTGATTTCTGCCCTTTTCCTAAGAACTCGCCTGAGGCTAAATTTTAAAAAGTGGACTAGGAGTTCTAAGCAAGAATCTGTTGCGTGGGTTTTGATATTTACACCGTACCTCACATGTTTTCCTCTGGTAGTTTCAGGTCTTCCATTAAGGTATTGGATCCATTTGTGTTGATTCTGGTACAGAGAGAAGGCTTCATGTTTCATTCTACTACATGTGAGTTGACGCCATGTTTTTTTTGACATTTTTAAGGTTATATTAGTTATAAACATACACAGTTATTTGTCTATTTAATTCCATTTCTCTCTGTGTTTTTTTTTTTTTTTGTATGCCAATGACATGTTTCATAGTTATTTCCATTTTGAATATACAACACTTCCAATCTTGGGATATATGTGCTTCCATATCATTTTTTAGGGTTATCTTTCTAGCTCTGTGGACGGTGCCATTAGTATTTTGACAGGGGTTGCCTTGAGTCTAAAATTTATTTTAAATAATGTGGATACTTAATAATAATTTGTCCAGTACATGAAACTAAATTATGGAGTAATTTCTTTGGCAGAGGCAATTGCAATGCTATATAATGCTGAGTATGTGGCATGATTATTATTGGTAAGGCTTTTGCAGGTCTGTGATGAAATAGAGAAAGTGGAACAAGAAGAAATACAAAATGTATAGTTTGGAGAGATAGATTGGTTGGAAGAGGGAATATAATTGTTAAGGAGACTAATACCACTAAGGAGAGGCCTACTCTGCATTTGAATAAATAGTAGGGTTCCTTCAGGGTAAGAGTCCACCCAGATAAACTTCTGACTTGTGAAAGAGAAAGAACCTAGAGTGGTTTCTGCTTCTAGACAACAGCAAATAAAAGCTGCTGCATGGGGTTCAGGGAAGTGTGGATCCATCCTGAGTTGTCAGCCTAACTTAGCAGTATCGTTCATGTGGTACTGGCTTTAGAGGCATGAAAGGCAAGAGTGAAGGGGTTGTAGATTCCTATTTTGTGTTTACAGAGAGCCCAGGCAGTGTGTGTCAGGTGAGTCCCTGCATGAAGTTCCTGAGAGGTCACTGCATGAAGTTGTGAAAATGAAGCCTGTTCCCAAGATGTTTGTGACATCCGAGTTGGAAGATATCTGCTCAGGAGAGCTGCATGCATGAAGTGAAACCAGCCTAAGAAGGAGATGCATGTTGTAGGCACCAGAGCTGAAAGGACAGAGCCATCTAAGTTCTTTAACATGAGATGTAGAGCTACAGGATTTAGTGTTTGCCATTCCTTCCCGTGCCTCCTTTCTTTCCTTTGGGGATGTAATGCATATTCTGTGCCATTATATGTTGGAAGTTTGTAATTTGCCTTTTTTTATTTACAGGGAGCTGCAATTAAGAGATTGCCTTGAGTATCAAAACAGACTTTACACGTTGGACTTTTAAGCAGTGTCGGGGCTTTTAAAGACTGGGGACATTTTATAGCTTGACTGGATGCAGTTTGCATTATGATATGACCATGATGGTTTGAATAAAAGTTTTCCCCTATAGGCTTATGTATTTGCACACTTGGTCCCCAGTTTGTGGTGCTATTTAGGGATGGTTAGGAGGTGTGACCTTCCTGGAGGAAGTATGCCACTGGAAACAGGTCTTGAGTGTTTATAGTATCACCCTATGTCCAGTTTGTGCTCTGTGCTTCACACTTGTAAATGAGGATTGTGAGGTCTCCGCTTCTGGCTCCAGCTGCCATGCTTGCCTCTTGCTACTGTGCTGCCCTGTCATGTTGCATGATGGACTTTTAGTCTTCTGGAACCATAGGCCAAAATAAACTCATTTTTTCTATAAGTTGTATTGGTCATAATGTTTTATCACCATAACATATATGCAAGTAATACACTCTTAAAGAGCTTTATCTCAAATTTCTATCAACTAAGTTTATGCATAATTTTCCCATGTCTTATTGCATGCTAAATACACAATGCACTCTGCACTTCAGGATTTATCAGTATGTACCACTGGCTTTTAGCAACTTTGTAAAATACTTTTATTTATTCTTTAAAAATTTCATAAGTATATTGAATGCACTTTTGAGCATATCTATCT